ACCTGGGAATTCTAGTGTGCCCCTCATCCAACCCCCGCTCAAGTAGTTGGAACTGTCTGGCTGGTAGACACACTCACGCAGCCTGAGCACATTTAGCATCCAGGCAGTTCGCAACTACAAACTGATATACCGAATAATAATAAAACATAAGAACATAAGAACGGCCGTACTGGGTCAGACCAAAGGTCCATCTAGCCCAGTAGCCTGTTTACCGACAGTGGCCAGCACCCGGTGCCCCAGAGAGAGTGGACCGAAGACAATGCTCAAGCGATTTGTCTCCTGCCATCCCTCTCCAGCCTCTGCCAAACAGAGGCCAATGACATAGCCTTTTATGGACCTAACCTCCATGAAATTATCTAGCTTCTCTTTAAACTCTATTATAGTCCTAGCCTTCACAGCCTCCTCTGGCGAGGAGTTCCACAGGTTGACTACACGCTGTGTGAAGAAGAACTTTCTTTTATTAGTTTTAAACCTGCTACCCATTAATTTCATTTGGTGTCCTCTAGTTCTTCTATTTAGAGAACTAATAAATAACTTTTCTTTATCGGCCCTCTCCACACCACTCATGATTTTATAGACCTCTATCATATCCCCCCTCAGTCGCCTCTTTTCTAAACTGAAAAGTCCCAGTCACTTTAACCTCTCCTCATATGGGACCCGTTCCAAACCCCTAATCATTTTAGCTGCCCTTTCCTGAACCCTTTCCAAGGCCAAAATATCTTTTTTCTATCCCTTTCTTAATAATTCCTAGCATCCTATTTGCCTTTTTGACCGCCGCTGCACACTGCGTGGAAGTTTTCAGAGAATTGTTCACGATAACTCCAAGATTTCTTTCCTGATTTGTCGTAGCCAAATTAGCCCCCATCATACTGTACGTACAGTTGGGGTTATTTTTATATTCTGGGTCTTATTTTCTATCCCTTTCCTAATAATTCCTAGCATCCTATTTGCCTTTTTGACCGCCGCTGCACACTGTGTGGAAGTTTTCAGAGAACTGTCCACGATAACTCCAAGATCTCTTTCCTGATTTGTCGTAGCCAAATTAGCCCCCATCATACTGTACGTATAGTTGGGGTTATTTTTCCCGATGTGCATTACTTTACACTTATCCACATTAAATTTCATTTGCCATTTTGTTGCCCAATCACTCAGTTTGGTGAGATCTTCTTGGAGTCCCTCACAGTCTGCTTCTGTCTTGACTATCCTAAACAGTTTGGTATCATCTGCAAACTTTACTACCTCACTGCTTACCCCTTTTCCAGATCATTTATGAATAAGTTGAAAAGGACTGGTCCCAGGACTGACCTTTGGGGGACACCCCTAGTTATCCCTCTCCATTCTGAAAATTTACCATTTATTCCTACCCTTTGTTTCCTGTCTTTTAGCCAGTTCTCAATCCAAGAAAGGACCTTCCCTCTTATCCCATGGCCATGTAATTTACACAAGAGACTTTGGTGAGGGACCTTGTCAAAGGCTTTCTGAAAATCCAAGTATACTATATCTACTGGATCCCCCTTGTCCGCATGTTTGTTAACCCCTTCAAAGAACTCTAACAGACTAGTAAGACAGGATTTCCCTTTACAGAAACCATGTTGACTTTTGTCCAATAAATTATGTTCTTCTACATGCTTCACAATTTTATTCTTTACTATTGTTTCGACTAATTTGCCCAGAACTGAAGTTAGACTTAGTTTTTCTATTTGTTCCAAAACCTCCTCTAATGACACTTCAACCCGGGACAGTTCCTCAGATTCATCACCCACAAAGGACGGTGCAGATTCAGGAATCTCTCCAACGTCCTCAGCCGTGAAGACTGAAGCAAAGAAATCATGTAGTTTCTCCGCAATGGCTTTATCGTCCTTGATTGCTCCTTTTATAGCTCAATTATCTAGGGGACCCACAGGTTTTTTAGCAGGCTTCCTGCTTCTAATGTACTTAAAAAACATTTTGTTATTTCTTTTTGAGTTTTTGGCTAGCTGTTCCTCAAAATCTTTTTTTGCTTTTCTTATTACATTTTTACACTTGATTTGACAGTGTTTATGTTCCTTTCTATTTATCTCACTAGGATTGGACTTCCACTAATGAGAAAATTTAAAAACATTTTGTTATTTCTTTTTGAGTTTTTGGCTAGCTGTTCCTCAAAATCTTTTTTTGCTTTTCTTATTACATTTTTACACTTGATTTGACAGTGTTTATGTTCCTTTCTATTTATCTCACTAGGATTGGACTTCCACTAATGAGAAAATACCAGACATTTTATATGTTCAGTATTTTCTCAATTTGTTTCCCAGACAGAAGCCTCAAACACCGGACTGTCCAGTACAAAACCGGACACCTGGCAACCCTACCTCTCCTTGCACCCTCCCTCCTAGCCAGATACTCTACCCTCAATCTGCTCCTGCCCCGCTTCTTGGAGTGCCTGTGCAGTGCCGGGTCCCTCAAGTCCTGGCCCGGGCTGGCTAGAGGATGCAGCCAGGTGAAACAGTGAAAATTTAATTCATTTTTCATTCTTTTTTAAATATGTGTTTATATTTTTCGGCTACAAAAAACAATACTAAAAAAAAACGGGTTCCAACGGGGGCGGGGAGTGAAGTGGCACGGCGTCATTAACACGACCATGGAGAACATCACTGAAATGAAGGATCTTCTGCAAATTGTGGCCCAAGAGGGCAAACACCCAATTGCTTCTTGGTGCATCAGAGTGTCAGGGATGTGTCTGTGCAT